GGTGATTTACGATTGAAACACAAATTAAAATTATATGCTCTAGTTACAACAATCATGGCTACATTATATGTCTCGCTCTCACTTCCTTCACTTCTAAACATTGTCATAATTTATCAACAATAAGGGCATTTGGAAAAATAGATATTTGATATGCATATGAGAAATATGAGTCTTAGGCACACTGAGTTTTCTTTCCAAGTTAAGCATAATAGACTTTTATTTAATATACTAATTTAAGTCATAATATTTTAATACATAAACCGCACTTGAACACATTCTCGAAGAGGTCATAATAAGATAGGAGCAATTGAAACACATTTTGAGTATATACATCTTTGAAAACAATGCTTACTTGGGATAATCGACTCTATTAGGAACAACTCGGAACAGAGATATTAGGAACCTGGGCCAACCATACTTGAAACTTACAGGAACATCATGGAATTCGATTCTAAGAGAGAAGTTTAGCCAACATACCTTTCTTGAGCATTCCTTAGATTGCTACAATGTCCCAATACTCTTAGCAATATCAATCTATAGGAAGATAGCAAAAATCGGATAATAATTAGAAGGATTCTCATGGTATAACTCTCTTGTGAATTTTGTCAAACACCTATTATGTAAAATTGACTACAAGACTCTACAATGGTAATCCATTCCTCCCTCAACCAATTTTAACAAAAAAACTACCCAAAATAGTCCAACAACCTCCACATACTACTACCTATTATCACATGTGTGGCCTATCTCCAACTCGATAACCTACTTAAATCCATAATAATTGCATGAAGATTTTAGGACAAGGTATTACCCTGGTAGATGATAGTCTAGTGAGTGGCTTCCCTTGAATCTTCAAGATTGGGGCAAGAATTGATGATCAAAGCACTTGGGTTATAAAAATAGAAAATGGACCCTCCGAACTGAACTCTGCGGTCGTAGAGTGAACCACAGAATAGATATGCGGCCCACAAAATAGACCGCAAAAATGATCCCAAAAAAATTAGGCTGGCCTGGACAAGTCTGCGGTTCGCAAACCAGTTATGCAGCCGCGAAATGAACCACAGAATCATCCTCCAAAATTCTTCATGCTAACTCTGTGACGGAAGTACTGACCGCAAAACGGATATGCGATTGCATAATGTAAACCTTCAAAATTCAACAATTTTTCTGCTCAACTTTGCGATGGGTATGTGGCCCGCGGAGTGGTTCTGCTGTCGTGAAATTGACTGCAGAATTGCCTTCTTCTACAAAAAACTTCCTTCAACTCCTCAATACATTTTTCAATCCAAAAAATATGTACCTTCGAATACATTAGCCTACATCGGTATCACAAAACCTTAAATTCTTTGAAATTTTTTTACAGGCCTTACAGAACCCAAACCATCCATCTCCGCAAGTCACATAATAACAAATACACATATGGGGAGCATCAAATAGGAGAACGAAGCTAAAATACACAAAATAACCAACCTAGTTGTTACAATTTCAGTAAAGAAGAGTCGAGTCGTCTCTTTAGCAGATACATACTTCGGAACCGCAATAAAAATAGCATATTTAAAAAATCGATCCACCCCGATAAGAATGATAGTAAGATCTCCGACCTTGGGCAAGCCGGAGATAAAATCCAGTGAGACACTCTCTAAAGGCCTCTTTGGCTCTTCTACCTGCAATATATTTAGCTATTCTACCAATGTGATCTTGGACAATTTTTTTTGTTTTCTAAGGTAACTATGGATACTTCATATCTTTCTTGCACCGTAACGAGAATTTTTTGAACAATTATTGAATTCTTAAATTTAGTACCAACCAATCTTATATTGTTAACCATTCTAAGCGATCGATCTGAATATTCTTTGACGGTCTCAGATTCCTTTATTTTCTGCAACTCAAATTCTCTTATTAAATTCAACACTTTCATGCCCTCTATTCTTTCATCTTCTGTATATTCTTCTTTCATATAATCTCAAAACAAATGCCGATTTGAGAGCCATAACTCGTAAAGATTGTCATAGATATACCAGCAAATTAAGTTACCTTTATTTTTGATTTTCTGATTTTCTTGTCGTTGTGGCTCTTGATCTAGCCCACGATGGGATTGTCGGGAAGCGGAACAACATTGTAATCCTTTTCCATGGTCTTACAAAGATCTAAAACCTCTAAGTGAGTCTTCAATCACACTGTCCACAGTTGGTAATTTTTACCATCAAAGATTAGAGGAGTCAATTGAGAAAAATTCGTTTCAATCTCCATCTTATTCAAAAAAAAATTTACTCACTCAGATACCTTAAGAAGATGGCTCTTGATACTAATTGTTGAATTTTTTTAGAAGAAATTGGAAAATAACGTAGGAATTGCTAAGAGAAGTAATACTAGAATAGAAGTAGCAAATGAAACTGTGTTTCTCATTGATTAATTTCAACTTAGATACATAAAGAAAATAACTGAAAGACTTGACAAACTGCTGAAAATATGCTAAAGATAACACAAATAACAAACTCTTACTTTGAAGCCACGAAAGATTATAACAGCTAACAATAGAAATCCTAAAACCTAGCTATTGATGGGCTAATTTTCGGCAAATTTCTTAGAGATAATGCAGTTGTCTTTTTATTTTTGCAACTTCCTAATGCATATTGTCAACAAGGAATATGAAAATACATAAGGGATAATAAGGTAAATTAGTTGGTCACATCTCAAGTGCTTTTAAGCCCAAAATATAATAAGTTTGGGTAGATAACTTATTGCTTTTGGCTTATTTTGAATTGTTTTTGGCGTAAAAGCTTTTTTTAAGTTTGTCATACATCAAAACATGTTGAAGAGTTCTTTTGAGCTAGTTTGACGAGCAGGGGCAGATGCAATAAGGATGAAGCGGTGTCATCATCGGAAATTTTTGTTAAATGTATATATAAATATTCTATAAAATACCATGTGTGACACCACTTGTCATCAAGCACTTCGAGGCGGTTTGTGTAGCGCCTGATTTTTGAAGGCAAGGTCGCGGGATCGAACATGCTTTGCAGGGTTTTTAATTCTTCATTTTTGTTATGCTTTGCGGGTTTTTTAATTCTTCATTTTTGTTTTGAGGATTTCAGCTGGGAAAAAAAAAAGACAAGTATTTGATGAAAAAGAATTTATCTCTTGAGATGGAGAGTGTTTCTTGCTGCGTTTGTTTTGTGGGGTCAAGTAAGTTAATTTGTTACTTTTTCATTATTTCATTCTTTTAGTTTTTTTTAGAATTTCTTAAAATTATTTTACTTTATGAGTGTACTCTATAAAATTATTCCGAGGTCTCAAAAGATATTTTAATTTGTAATTCAACTTAAATTTTAATAGATTATCGTAAAGCATCTTCCAAACTTTCAAAATCAAGTTCAAAATCTCAAAATTCATCTAACTTGGAAGAAGGGGTCAATGGTCGTAGCAACATCGACAAATTGAAGGAGTTAATTTAAATTCCTTAAAGGTTGACCCTGAAAAAAGATTGACAACTCAAAAATATTATCCAAATAACCATGATGTAATAAGAACAACGTATCTTCAAAAAAGTCTTTTCCAACCTCGAAATCACAATTTTTCTTAAAGAAAATTTATGATAAATTTGTTGCTTTGATCTTCAAAGGTTTGTTAAGTTGTTGGAGAATAGTGTAACCAAATATATGACTTTTTACTTTTATTGTTACTTAATTCAAAATGAATGCATTAATCAAGGGGGAGGAAATGTGTCTTTAAGTATAAGGTTCAAATAGGGACGGATGCACCAAGGTTATGTTGAAGCAGTGTCGAAAATGTTATTTTTCACTTCTTAATGTGACACCACTTACAAAAAATCTTGCTTACGCCCCGGTTAACCAGAGCTTAAACCGATCTCGACGCCCTCTTGATATGTGAACTTACCCACCGAAATATTTGGACAAATTTGACGGCCAAATCAAGTGCTGCTTTTTCAACTCAAATAGAAAAACAAATTTCTCAAAGAAAGAAAATAAACAAATGATGCCACATGTGAAGTTTGTCAAAAGCATCTGTCATGCGACACCATTTTTTTCCAGGTTACCTCCTATTTTCCAACCAATCCTCGATTTGTATTCCAGCATTGAGTCCCTTTAAATTAGAAAGATTCAGAACACATGAGACCATTGGGTCGCACAGTAGACAAAAAAGTCAATTCTTCACTTTTCATAATGAGCGTGATCATATTATATGTATACATTTAAAAGTTCTTTGTGTGTATATAGATAGGTCACACCAAAAGTAATAAGTCCAATTGAACCCATAGAATGTCGTTTGTTGACATTGTACGTATTATTGCAACAATGGTCTGCCAGAGTTCAAAGAAGGAAAATGCACTAAAGAGTAGTTGTAAAGGAAGAAGAAAAGGTATTTCCTCGGTGTAATGGAAAAACAGTTCATATCCTCGTTTCCCAGTAATATGATATTCATTTTCTTTCAATGCAGTGGTTTTGGGGGCAATTGTATGGTCCTAGATAATGCAAAAGGTGCTGCATATTATGCAAAGAGTTCTTGTTTATGCGTGAAATGTAGTCACTGGTTTCAAATTTGAAAGCTATTTCTCCCAAAAGGACCACTCGAAAATGTAAGCTCCTCTTAAAAATTTCCTATCCAGCCAGCTAAATCCAGTAAGTGTGGAATGAGGTAGGTTTTTTATGCCCAAACCTCATCAAGTGAAACTCCAGGATTATCCACAATATCATCCAAAATTCCCCTATAACATTTCTGCAAAAACATATGGTCCACTTTTAAACAGGTGAATGACTTTCAACCTGGGAAAATTGCGGACTTGCAAGTCAAAACAAGAACTCCCTCTATTTCAAAAAGATTGACACTATTTTCTTATTAATCTGTTTCAAAAAAAATTAGCAAGTTTCAACATTTCTTATAAAAAGCATTTATAGTCACACAAATGTTATGACAGATTTTAGACCACAAATTACAAAAGTTTTACGGTCACACAGATGCTATGGCTTATTTAGGACCACATATCTCAAAAGTCTTCCCTTCTTTATCAAAGTTTGTGTCAAGTCAACAAAGACAACCTTTCTGAAACGGAGGAAACACTCAATAATCAGATCAATGTCTGCAGCACACATAATACTAAGAGTGTCTACTTACAGATAATAGATATATCTGCATAGTAAATAAGTATTTGTCTCTAGTTTTATTCATGACATTGTCGACATGGGAGAAGACTTTGGAAATACAGAAGGAAAAGGTTACAGAAAAAAGATAACTCTTCTCTTCTGATGTACAATGGAAAAAAGTTCCCTCTATGTACAGGAACATACTATCAGAAACATAGTTACAGCCAAGCACTTATTTCTGAACCCCACTTTTACCAAGGACCTGTCTGGGTCCTTCTCAAGCATCGTCTTTTAGCTCCTCGTTGAAGGTTCATCATCTCCTGAACCTGTAACATCAAATGTAAGTAGTGTCAACTGAACTGAAGCAGCCAAAATGCCTTAACAAACTCAATTTTGAAATTTGTTAAACTAGTAGAAAAAGCAAAGCAACGTTGAGCCTCAACATATAAAGATACAGGTGGGAGAAATGGGGCCAGCCTATGTGGATTAGACAGTGAAATCGCCAAGGTAGATAGTAATTTGTATGGATGGAATTGATGTACTAGCAGAACTAGGACTTTTCAGACACTTCAAACTTTTATTAGGAAAATTTTGAAGTCTAGCATGGTAAAAACAGAAGTGACACATAAGTTTATCATCAGTTTTAGCATAAGAAACTAGATAGGTAAGTAAACTTTATGTAAAAGAAATAGAGCAGCCTAGCACTAAGATGGTGCTAACAGCTAAGGCTTTCTACAGGTTAGGAATCCCCCATGCAAAAACAAAAGGACAGGATTCCCATTGTACAAAGACAAATGTTTCTATGAAATCTAGCATGCTTCCTTATCTACCTTGGCAATTTCACTGTGAATGGCACGGCAAAAGATACCCTGAAAAGGTTTAAGAATGAAGACCAAATTTGGACATTGCAGAAAGAGGTGGAGCAGCTTTCTACCTCACTGTTACACATAAAAAACCTACTGCATATTGCAATTTCCCCTACTCTGCAGATTACTGCGAGTGAGACACGCATTGCGAATGACAAGCCACATAGAACAACTAATTTCGTAAGGTGCCTTGGATTTCCATAACGACTTCCATGGACAATTGGTAAGGTTGTCCCCTACACTATTGATCGTCATATAACATGAATTTAGAGGAGTCCATTCTGTTGCCTAGTCCATTCCATGCAATACCAGCTTTAGCCTTTAAAGACACTTTTTTCTAAATCTTTCAACAGGAGAGCAATTCTAGGAACTTCCGAATCAAAGCAATTTTTCCTAAAACTTATAAATCAACTTCTAGCATTCCAGCATCATGAGACAAGGTTTCCTGCAGTGTTAATGAAAACCATAAAGACCATGGACAGAATATTTAATGGTAAATGTCCAATCCAAGCATCATTCCAAAACTTTGTATTCCTGCTATTACCAATATAGATCTGTGCAAGTCTCAAAAGTAGGGCAAAGGATGCAAATATTTTTCCATAAACCTAATCCATCAGTATTGTGGACTAAAACCCTATGTTGCTCGAACTCTCCGAAAATGTGGCCGGATACGTGTCGGATCCTCCAAAAGTAGTGCATTTTTAAAGGATCCGACATGGGTGCGGCTACATTTTGGAGAGTCCGTGCAACATAGCTAAAACTAGCAAAGTTTATTAAAAAAATCATGTTGAACCCGTCAAGCCCTAGGGCCTTTACACCCTCAGAGCTTCTAATGATTTCTTCCACTTCCCCCTCTAAGAAAGGCATTTGTAGCCACTCCTTATGCACTTCTGATAATCTGGGACAATTTGATGGCCTCCACTCCTCCTTCTCCTTATACAGATTGTCATAAAAGTTGATCATCTCTCTCTTGATAGTTTTCTGGTCCTCCACCACCTACCTGTTCACTTTCAACTTTTTCATGGAATTGTGCCTTCTATTCGCATTTGCACCTGGTATTTTTGTCCTCAACCTTAATTCACAAGATTTTTTATCTTTGCCTCCATGAGATATCTTCAAGTTTTACCACCACCTGAAGCTCCATCACAGTGGCTGCCCTTTGTGCTAACTACTCTTCATTTAGCATACCTTCTTCTTTAGCACTTTCTAAAGCCTTTTGCTTATTCAAAACATCTCTTTCTTCTGTATAGGCAGCATTATGACTCACCATCCATGCTTTTAAGTTTTGCTTCAACATCTTTAGTTTACAGAAGCATATAATCAGGATAACCTTTAACCACAAAAGAATTCCACCAATCTTTTAGCCTTTCCAGGAACCCTTCATAATCGATCAACATGGTTTCAAACTTGAACTAGGATTTTTTCTTTCCCCATCTGCCACATTGTAATTCTTTCAGATTATGGTCTGACTAATGTTTGGTTACACTAACTTTTTAATGTTGTTGAACTGATCACCCCATTCACTGGAAAATAAGAATCTGTCAAACCTTGATACCATCTCTGAATTATCCCCCGCAGACCAAGTAAAATTTCCTCCACAAAGATACAGGTCAAATAAGTTTCACTCTTGAATAAAATCCTAGAAGTCTTGCATTTCTGAAGTGTCTTTGCTATTCTCTCCCTTCTAATGTATCTAGCAACATTTAAATCACTTGTCATCATCAACGGTAGTTGCCTGAAACCTCTAGTTGCTGCGAGCAAACCATAATCCCCTTCTAAGTACCTTCCGGTGAGGACCATAGATAGCTGAAATGGTCCATTTAAAATCACTGACAGAGCTTGTCAATAATGAGCAGTTACCCCTGACACGATCAACTGCTTCCCATAGTCTCTTATCCCATAAAATAATCACACCTCTTGATGTTGATAGCCTCAAACACTCCTAATTTATCTGTTAGGCCAAATTTGTCTTGTCATTTTCACTCTCCAATGTTGCATTTTAGTCCCTTGAAAGCAACACAAGTAGCTTTCCAGCTATTAACTAGAGACTTTGTAACCCTCCTCTTCCTACTACAGTTTAGACCCCCCACATTCCAACTAATAATTTTAACCTAAATCCTGGTGCAATTTTACCCCATCTTTTCTCTTCCGAATCCCCATAATCGATGTTAAAAACCAAATATTTAAGTTCCCTAAGACCAATTTGTTTCTATTGAACCGGAGTTCTGCATTGTATGAGACTTGATTAAATTTGTAATTTTTCAATTATGATTAAAAAATACGATAGATAATACCATGCAATTAAAAGTTAATAAAATCAAATAGTATTGAACAATGAAAGAATTTCTAAGTAACGAATAAATAAACTTACTCACAAGAAAAATAATAAAAATTATTATAAAATTCTAGAGATAAAACTTATCTGAATTTGAGAAGAGAAAGTATCTTCTAAATTATGATGAGAAAATTCATACAAATAGTAAAACAAAACTAAAACCATAATACATAAAGTCAAAAATAAAAAGTTATAGAACAATGAATGAATTTCAAGTAAAAGAGTAATAAATTAATCACCAACTTTCTCAGGAGTAAGAAATCTATATTATCCATGTTATATTATATAAGGTAATAAGCAAGGACATTAAATCTAAAGGCAAACTAACAAAAAATTCAAATGATAGTGCAATAATACTGAGCAACGAATAAAGCAATATTCTTTTGAGCCGAGGATCTTTTCGAAACAGCCTCTCTACCTTCATTAGGTAGGGGTAAGGTCTATGTACACTTCACCCTCCCCAGACCCAACTTGATGGATTTCACTAGGCTTGTTGTTGTAACGAATAAAGCAATAAGGATAATCGAGGAACAAAAGGAGAAAAAATGGTACAAAATATAAAATGGTATGATTTAGTAAATCAGAAAGTGTATTTGATTTATAATGACAAAAATAATACATATGTAAAACATCACGTAACTTAAATCTTAATAGATAAAGTCAAAAACAAAAAATATTAGGCAATGAAAGAATACAAAGCAATAAAGCATAATTTTAAATGATAGTTGACTTTAATAATTAAATCTTAAAAGTCAAAATTTTAATAAAAAGTCAAAGAAGAAGAAAAACTTATATTTCTAGGCATATAATACAAAACTACCAATTATTAAAAGAATTGGTACATTTATAACTACAGTCAAACCTCTCTATAACAGCCTCGTTTGTTCCGGATAGTTTTGGTTGTTATAGCGAGGTACTGTTATAGAGAACATATATTATAACATAACATGAAAGTTGGTTCCGAAAAAAGCTTGGCTTTTATAGTGAAGTGTTGTTACATAGAGATGTTATAAAGAGCTCTGACTGTAACAGAGAAAAAAAAAATTTATATTTTGGACGAATTCAAATGAAGATGTACAATGGAAAAAAAGTTTCAAGAAAAAAATTTTAGGAGTAAAAAAAATTGATATCTTTATCTATATCATATTAAAAAGAGAGAATTAACAAAAATACCAAGCTAATAAAACGTCATAATAACAAATGAAAAATACTAAATATAGTAGATTATGTAATAAAAAAAAGTGAGGAACTGAAAAGTTATTCGATGACCATATAAATCTTTTTCTAATTTCATAAGATGTTCTTATTGGGCATGTTTCACCGGATAAAAGAAAGGAAATTGAAATTTAATTCAAGAAATATGATATAATATGGTCAAACAAATCAGATCACACAACATGATTTATATTCTCCGCGCATCGCGCGGGTGCTATACTAGTGAGAATAACACAATGGGCTGTCATCTCTAGCAACTAAATCTATACAACTGCCCGTCTCTAGTTTTTCAGTTACTTCGAAGTTCAGAAATCTTTCATTAGTTAGGCCATTTCTCTGTGAGGTAGGAGCTCGGACATACCGGAATGAGTTGTCCAGGAACCATTCGTATTAGTACCGGGAGCTATGTTAATGACATCGTCGCACTTAGGCTTGTGAAATTTCCACCGTCACTGGGTCCAACCTGGGCTCATTAAAGATTGCATTCTGATGGGCCAAAACAAAATCAGACAAGTAGTCCCCTTTCTCAATTAAAACAGCATTCGCTAGCCTAACATTCAAGGCCCATAGTAAGAGAACTGGGGTCCTTTGGGCAAGCATGCTTATGACGTGTATGGTCAATGAGATTGTTTTTTCTTTGTGAGCAAAGAACCCACACTTCTTTGTGAGCAAAAAAATCACACCGTATTTTCAGACCAATGAAAATGCTTGAAAATGATTTTAAAGTAACTGCCACCCTAAAAGAAACTACAGGCTGATAGAAGAAGTTTCGAAATGGGTACACATGTAAGTAACGCAGAAAATTGTAACAGACGTTCTATGCACTAAATAAAAATATACTAGTCATACACAGAGATGACAGGATTCTAATGAATATAATGCATTTTGGTCTGGTACCAATGTGATGGTATCAGTCATGACTACATTATATCTGTGATCCAAAATCAAGCAGACATGACTACATGATTCACCAAGACTTGTTCACTTTTCCCTTCAAGAAAGTAGATAAAGCATGAGGGGTTTGACTTAGAAGTAAGAGGAAAACAATAATTTGAAGTACCCGATTCTTCTGCATTTCCATCATCTCTGCCTGCAGCAACACAGTCTAGTTAGTGATGCATCATCAAGAAGTGGCTATGCATGGATTCACTGAACAAAAGGTCACCTGTTTCTTCCGCAATTCTTCGTTTTCTTCTTTAAGTTTTGCAACTTCTGCTTCTAGCTCCATTGTGTAGGCCTACAGTATGTTAAACAGGTGGATCAGCAGTGATGAAAGTATAAACCATATTAAATAAGTGTTATGCTGGTAAGTATAGGAATCTGGCAGTATGTTAAACAGGTGGATCAGCAGCGATGAAAGTACAAACCATTTTAAATAAGTGTTATGCTGGTAAGTAGAGGAATTTGGTAGGGGCAGATTCGATGTTTGCTATATTTATGAAGATTAAAGCACAAGGTTTTGAGAAATTTAAAATTTGTGATTGCTCTCTAAAGCACACATTCTCTAAAGCTTCTCATGAAGTGTATCCTGTCATGTCTTGCCACATCAGATAGCTATCATATTACCGTTCTGCTATATAAGATATCCAATCTTTTTGTGGAGTTGAAAGATCCATCATGGCCATCGATAATAAAGCAGAATGTTTGTTTAGAAACATCTTTCTTGTG